GTGCTGGGAATCGTAGTAGGAGTTGCAAAGCCACAAACATTTTGATAAGATTCATTAAAATAGCTATAATTTAAAGAAAATAAAATATGCATTAGCCGACCGATGAAGAGATGAATTAAATTCGAGGCAATTTCGAAAAACTAATCCAGGCGTAACATAATCGAAAGCTACTGTTTGAAAATTGAAATGCTTAGCCCGGAAAAAATGAAAACCTAGTTAATCTAAAAGAGGATGCTGATAATATGCTTGAAGGACAATTCGTGATACAAACGTATAGGCCCCGAATAACAGTTTCACCTGATTTTATTACAGACAAACGCACACAAGGTACAAACCTAATGAACTTGCTGCAGAATTGCTTATATGCAAAAGGTCAGAAGAAGAAGAAGAAAGTTATGGATATTACAATTTCAACTTACAAACTTGCTTGATTGCACCGCAGGTGATGAAAACTTTGTATTACTTACCATGATATTTGCCATGGTAACGGTAACGGTAGGCGCCATATGGGCGGCCGTAGCCATAGTAACCATGTCTAGATCCATAGCCGTATGGTCGTCCATATCCGTATCCACGTCTATATCCGTATCCACGGTGGTAGTAATTACTACAAAGAAATTAAACAAGAACATGATATAAAACTAATTGCAGAAACGATATTTTGTCAGAATAATTATGTTATTGAGAAAAATTAATTGGGTGAATGTTTTTTTCCGAACTTCGTTTTGTTTCGATAAAGCTTCCTAATTGTCTTTGATCAAAAATTTTTCCCCCTTAGAAACATTAAAGAGTAACTTTTCTCGAGGAGTTTGCCTCTTATTAAAATTATTTAAAAAAATAAACTGAAAATCCGCTGTTATTCAATCAAACTAAATAAGAAAAAAAGCAGAAAGTGGCGACATACCGAACGTATTGCCTGCGGTCGGAATAGGCCGAGCTGACATAAGCGACAGCCACAAGGGCAACCAGCAAGAACAAGGCAAACTTCATGATCGAAGAATTCTCGGCTAAGGAGTGCTAAAGGTCCAACAGATAGTTCCTACTTAGGGATTGAGGTCTTTTATAGTCCCTTACCCCCCCAAAACTAAGGTCACGATGTAACCTTTCGTAAAATAATCGCCATTTGTCTGCCTGTCAAATTGACAGTGCTTTATTGTTCTTCTGAAAATTTGCTTATCAAGAAAAAAAAAATCCTTTCATTGATCTTGCGTACATCAGAATCAATTTGCAAAGAAGCTAAAAATGTGCCTCCCTCAGAACATTTTTTTAGTTTTTTAATGATTTGAAAATATATGTACATAAGGTGAAAAGGTTATTCGAACTGTGAACTATTTTACTCTTAATCATACACAGCGCCGGGGAAGGCTATGTTGCATGAGCATACGTATAACACGACAGTGCAGTAATTGTGAACACGACTATCAATCGTGAAGAATCGTGCCGCGTTAACGTTATATCCGCGATGAAATCAAGACTTGCATTTGAAAAGGAAAATTACAACAAAACAAGTTTTATCCAAAGAAATTTGGGTGGGAAAGAGAACAAATGAAAATGTTTTTTTTCCAGATTTTATGATGGAAGCTTATTTGCGTAGTATTGACGATCATGTTGAGGCAATTTTAAACTTCTCACTTCCTACACGAACTTTTGGAAAGTATGCCTGTGAAAGTTTTCACCCTGATACAAAAAGACTTCAACAGTGTGACTGATGCCAAGAAGTGAAATGTTTAAAATTGTCTCAGCAAGATTTTCAGGAAACATCGTTTAAAATCCTTACTTCCCCAAATACCACTTGAAACTTTAAATATTATTGTCAATCCTTTCTAAGTCACAACTGAAGAACAACAAATTACTGTGATAGAGATATTTCACACCCGTTTGTGTGTCGATTGGTAACCCTTTTCTATATAGGTTAATTAACTTGCCCCACTACGACTGCGTACTTGTGTATCTCTATAACAATGTATTAAGTTGAAATCTTGTTGATTTTGAAACTTAATTGGTAAAATGACAGAAATAATCTTTTAAGGAACTAAAATTTACCAAATTGGAGAATTTCTTGACTGAATGTTTTCTTGTTATAATTTGGAACTCTTTACTCGCTATTTTTATAAACAATTATAAACTGTCAACAGTGATTCAAAAGTAAGTATATAATCTACTGTGAGATGTCAAAGGCTGGAATATCACTAATAAAAGAAAGTCCATAGACAGCTAGAGTGCAGGCATATGCGCAACAATCTCGTCTTTTTATTCGAATCACAGTTTTGTAGTGGGATGGCTGGTTAGCATGCAGGAATCATTTAAGTAAGATTGAAAATAAATGATATTTTGAAAGAAAAGAGGTTAAGCCAGATACTACGACGTCAATTGGTAATTGGACACTCAGACAATGCTACTTTTATTTTAAACAGTTGGGTTTCTATTCGAATCAGAACAGCTATGCAAATAAGGGACATTTATGAGTACATTGACATGTCATTGATTGTAAAATCTAACGATAGGCAAAAGAGCGTGTGTGTAAGTTGATAACGTTGGGCATAAAATTAAGTGACCCCATTATCTCCGAACAGTTCAAGGACAACACGGTATAATGGCCGTCGTCATGATGTAAACAACTGGAAAAATATACCTGACATATCATCAGATGTGCATCGCCTTATTAAACTATAATTCAATAGTAATAAAAACTTCCTCAAATAAGGCCATTATTGACTTGGCCATAAAGATACTAGATCATCAGCGATAATATACGTTGGAATTTGTTCAGTTTGAAATTTTCTTGTATATAAACAGTGAAAAACATCCATGGCGTGCAAAAGAACAATGAAGGATAATTTCGGGTTAGGGGGCTTAGCATATAGTACAGTCTGTCCGCAGATTCCGTGCACACTGGCTGAAGCGACGGCCATTTTCGCACTACTTTCAGCAAAATCGAGTGAAAATGGACGACTTTTGAGCTCTTCGTATTTTCATGTGTATTTTTGTCAGCAGTTGATGTGATTAAACGATTGATATATAAAAGGAAGCGGGAATATCTAAGGATTCGGAATTTTAAGGTTAGTTGTCATAAAAAAATACATTCAGAACGGTAAACTGGAAGATTTATCCACGCGGGTGACTGCAAATGGTGCCCCGTTTCAGGTGTCCGAAATTTTCTATTTAAAGATTTCTATAAGAAGTTTAATTTGTACAAAGTTTTAAAAACTAAATCATGAAAGCTGGTTAAACTGGGTTTCTGGCAGTACATATATATATATATATATATATATATATATATATATATATATATATATATATATATATATATATATATAAACTGCAGTGTGCTGTGTGTTGATATGAAACACATGTTGCGTTTGGGTCCCAACTCGTTGGCAAAGTGTTAATATTCCCGTGAAGTCGGTGTAAAAGTCGGCAAAATCGATTTTTCCGACTTCACCGACTAACAGTAACTATACAGGACTAACAGGAAACGTAAAATATTTTTAAACGATTACATCCTACAGAAAGACGAGATCATAAACTTTCGAATGATATATCACAAGGCAAACGTAATGGACATGTTGTTCGCCATTAGCATTAGGAGTGGCCACGTCCAAGGGCAAGTGATATGTCCAGAAAGGGCTTCAGCGGGTAGAAGTGGCTTCATGACGCCTTTTCAAATCTCACTAATTCCATGCAAAGCAATCTGTTCGTCGTGTTTATAATAAAATAAATATGATTACCATAAAATAATCCAATACATCCAGAGGATGATCGATCACCGGATCCCGCTTCCCTCAGGCCCAACACGATCAACATAAAGCGACATAATTGTAATGTACACTAAAACCGTAATTTTTTTTAGAAAATGTAAACTTGTTATAATATAAGTAATAGTCTATTTCAATATTTTTACAACAAGTTCGAGATTTACCGAGAAAAACGTACGCTTTCGAGTGACTTGCTTAGTGCAACGTGACAGTCCCAGTCTCGACTGACCTACATACTTCGCACTAAAATAGGGATTTCACAAAAAAGGAAGGTTGTACAAAATTTTTATTCTTTTTGGCTCAATTCCAGCATATATAGTTGCATAAATCGTTATAATATCAATAAAGTAAGTTTGTCCATTTTTTCTACAATCATTACATTTTAGGGTACAAAATTCCACGATCTGCTTGAGAAAAATGCGTGTGCTATTTTTAGACATCTGATACAAGGCTTTCGTCGAAATTGAAATGTTCATTTTATATCGTGCGCTTACATCAAGTTCTAAATTTTATTCCTTGAAAGTTTCAAGCGAAATAATGAGTTGTTTACAGAGCTTAATGGATTTACATAACAACTACGGATTTTTGAAAACATGGCGCGAAACACACGTCGCGGACTATTTTGTGCAAGCGTAGGTGTTTTTGTGATGATCACCGCTTACGCATTGATATGCCAGACCTGCGGACAGACTGGTAAAACAATATAATTCCCTGATTTGACATACCGTATGTCACATATTGGATTTAAGATCTTGACTCACGTCACGGCAGTTTTATTAAAATGTTATCATATACACACGGAGATGTTCCATTCATGTCAAGTTGTAAAAATTATGCTGTAAACATTTCAATTTAAAACATTAGTGAAGAAGTAGCATTAAAACTGGGCAATAATTGATGTTTATAGTCAGTTAATTATGAATTGCAAAACCGTTTACGCCAGTCACAGACGGTCCTTCTTCAGTAATTTAAAATGGCTCTTCTGAAAAAAAAAAAAAAAAAAAAAAAAATATATATATATATATATATATATATATATATATATATATATATATATATATATATATATATATATATATATATATATATATACAGACTTGACATTTAATATGGAATATTTCAGTTTCGAAGGTATACCTAGGTAAAAATACGTTCTTTTTTAAAAAAAACTCCGATCTCATCTAAGATTTGTGAATGTAAAAGTGTGCAGTCAGGTGTGTCACTACCAATTAACTGACTTTCATGCCTGATGCGCTGCTACATTATGTAATGTGCAGTGATTTAATTGGGTAGTGTTCCTTTGGGCTGATCAAAGCTTGGCTTAGGCAAAGCTTGGTTTTGTCAAAAAAGTATCCATATTTTGGCAACTACTGCATAGAAGAATTTGAAATTTTGCATGCAAGCGGTCAGTTTTGCAGTGCGTAAGATGAGTTAAGTAGTGCATTACAAATTGGTTAATCTAAGGCAGAATGGCGCGAGAAAGACAGACATAACCAGACAGATCATAGCGCCAAACGGAACAGTCCCCACAGTTTTATAGAGTAATGGCCAGAGTGATGTACCTACACAGAGGTCACCCCCAATGTATCACAATTTTACCTACAGGGTACAGGACCCACTGTCTTTCGGGGTACGCTGCTGCAGCTAAACAAAAAACACTTAGTCCGATCAGAACGAGGGGAAAATTGCCACTAAAATGCGTTTTTTAATGCCCTTAGCGAACACCAAACTGCTTTTAGCAGGTAAGAACACCAAATGACCTTCGAGGTACCCACTGTATACAGCAAAACATCGTCGTCTGTTTCTCTAATGAATTGGGGGCCATGAACGATTCTGGGTACAACAATGAAACTGCGTGGCTTTCTTTATTGAGGTCAGATTTCACCTGTACCGCCCAATTAGTCAAAACAGAGTTTACAGATATCCAGAAGAGGCCTACGACGAAGCATATGCCGGGTCTAAAGTGACAAGGGTGATTGGCAGCGTCAGTATTTGGAGTAGATTCCACATTGGTGCCAAAACACCAATGGTAGTCATCGACGAAAACCTGAACCAGATCAAATAAAGGAATAATCTCGGAACCACTTGTCTATCATTTGATAGGGGGCACCTTAGGAACAATTCTTGGTTGCACGATGAGGTTGCAGGTTCTCACAGAGCACTTTTAATAGCAGATAACTTACAGAACCAAGGGAATGAGCAGCTACCCTGGTCATCAAAATCGCCACATTTGAACCACATAGACAATGTTTCGGTAGACCA